CCCTCAAACAAGGACAGCACGGGATGTTAGAGCTGGGAAGGACGTTCCATCACAGAGAGCACGGGATGCTCCTGAGCCCAGAAGGACCCTAAAACTTGGGAAAACATAGGAATGTTGGAGCCAGAAAGACACAGAGAGCCCAGGATGTTAGAGCCGGGAAGGACCTCGGAACCGAGAGCACGGAATGTCAGAGCTGGATCCTAGAACCTAAGATGTCAGAGCCGGGGGCGAGGGGGGGGAAACCTTAGTACACGGCATGTCAGAGCAGGAAAGGAGCTGAAATAACGCCGGACGTCACAGCTGGAAGGGGCCTCGGGGACCATCTGGTGCAAACCCCTGGATTTGCAGGGGAGGGAGGACAGAGAGGGGCAGGGGCTGCTGCGAGCACAGGCACAGAGAGGGGCAAGAGCAGCAGCGAGAGCCCCGGCGCCCCTCGGCCACCCTCGGACTCCGGCTCCAGGCCGGGCCTGCCGGCCTCCCTCTGTCCTCAGAAGGACCCGAACCCCAGTCCCCGTCCCCCGCCCCCCCAATCCCGTTAGGAGACAACGGAGGATGGGCACGGCGGAGGAGGGAGGGGGGACACCGCGCTCTCCTCAGCGCCGCCAGGCCCGGGAGGCCGAGGCCAGCCTGCCACCCCTTCCCGAAGCCTGGCCCCGGGGCGACCCACCTGCCTGGCCTTTCGCAGCTCATCTAAAAGGTTCATCCGACGAGACCCAGGCCAGCAAGAATTGGGTTTGTTTTGCGGTTCCTCAGAAGGGGGCAAGATGGCGACGGGCGCCAAGGCGCAGGCGCGGCCGCGCGCCGGAGCCTGGGAGTTGTAGTGCCCACTTTGTTCCCGCCTTTCGACGGAGAGAAGGTGGTGGGGATCTCCATGCCTGACTTTCCTACCCTGGGGCAAAGGTACCCTGGCGGGGGCATGCTGCCAATACCCGCCTGAACCTTCGCCCACCGCCCTGAAACCTCACATGGCGCGTAGGAGACTGGGAAGGGTAGTTTTCTTCTCTCCCGGCCCTCCTCCCCTCCGCGCTCTTGGCGCGCCTCGCCTCCTTTTCGCTCCGCCCTGCCAATCAATTGCGCTCGCGGCTACGTGTGCCGTCACACGTAGTGGTCGAGATGGCGTAGGTCGGTCCGAGCCGGAGGCTTGGCGGTCTACCCCCCAAAGGGGCGGAGGGTGAAGGAAAGCGGGACAGTTCGCTGCCGAACGGTCGAATGTATTCGTTTTCCCAGAGGTCTGGACCGAGTCCTGTCAACGGCCAACAGCCTTCCCGCGGCAGGTAGCGGAAGACGGACGGTATGGGTGCCGGAAAGGGACATGCGCAGTCACTCATTCATTCACCCTTCCTCGACTGCACGCCAGGTTGAGGCAGGTCTCTCTCTCCTTCACCTGATAGGCCCGAGGCAGGTGTGTGCGCGCGCGCCTGTGCGTGTGGGTGGGTGTGGTGGAAAGAGCCTTGGGCTCCTTGCTGTGTGAGCCGGCCGTCCCAAGGGCGCCTGGTCGTGTGTGCGTGCGTGTACATATGTATGTGTGTGTGTGTGTATGTATCCATCCGTCCGCGTGTGCGTTCGTGTGTGTTAGACACCTTGCTCGCTGGGCTGAGCCATGCCTGCTTGGAGAGGACAGGTTCTTCCCTCGTGGAGTTTCTCGAGGATAACAGTGCTCACCCTGATTACTAAAGGCGATGGTTGTCCAGGCCCTTCCCAAAGTGACCTACACACGTGAGGATCTATTAAAGGGAGTCCTAGTGGGGTTTGGTGGGAAAAGCTCTGGCTGCAGCTGATAATATGGTCCAAAGGATACCACTAGGCAGTTTTCAGAGGAAGACATCCCATCCGAGGGGGCAGGGGAAGGAGGAAGTGCTCTAAATCAATAACAATTAGAGAATTTCGAATTAAAACAGCTCTGAGGTTCCACCTCACACCTCTTAGATTGACAAAGTTGACAAAAAAAGGAAAATGACAAATACTGGAGGGGCTGGGGGAAAACAGGCGCATTAATGCCCTGTCGGAGCAATTGTAAAGTGGTCCGACCATTCTGGAAAGCGATTTAGAGCTATGCCCCAAAAGATGCCAACTAACCTGTGCATACCCTTTGACCCAGGCAAATCACTCCTAGGGATATTCTGCCAAAGAGATCAAAGAAAAAAGAAAAGGACTCATTTACAAAAATACTGATAGCCCCTCTTTTTGTGAGGGCGGTCAGCAAACTAGCATTTATTCAGCACCTACTAGAAGAATTGGAAACTTAAGGGCATACATCAAGAGGCGGATGGCTGAACAAGTTATAGTATGTGAATGTGATGTAATACTATTATGCTGTAAGAAATAATGAAGGGAATGGTTTCAGAGAAACCTGGAAGGACCTGGGTGAACTGATGCAGAGTGGAGTGAGCAGAATGAGGAAAACACGTTATAGGACAATTACACTAATGGCAACAACTATCAAAGACTTAGGAACTCTGATTAACACATTGACCAACTCCAATTCTAATAGTAGAACCTGCTACTTACATTCTGATGGTGGATGGATTCAGAGTGCAGTTTGAGACTTTTTTTATATAACTAATGCAGGAATTTGTTTTGTCTGACTATTCATGCTGGTGACTAGGTTTTGGTTTTTGTTTTTCTTGTTTTCTCAATGGGGGAGGGGGAAATGGGAGGTGGATCTTCATAAAGATAAAATAAAATAAAATATAACTTTAAAAGTTTTGAAAAGCAAAAAGCTCAGGTCTTGTCAGAAGACCGGGCCCAACTATGTGAATTAGGCTAGCCATTTTTTCCTCTCTGAGCTTCATTTTCTTTGTAAAATGGGTGTGAGGAGGGCTAACTTTGATAATAATAGCTAACATTTATATGGTAGTTTAAGGCTTGCAAAGCACTTTACATATTATACTCATCTGATCTTCCTAACAACTTTTGAGTGAAGTGATATTACCATCCCCATTTTACATATGAGGAAATTGAGGCACAAAGAGGTAAAGTGATTTGCCCAAGGTCACATAACTAGTGTCTGAGGCAGGATTTAAACTCAGGTCTTCCTGATGTCCAAGTTCTGGGCTGTAGCCACTGTACCACCTAGCTACCCCTTGGGGATAGACTGACACGATAAGATTGACATTCTCACAGTTCTTTTGTGGAGAAAGCGTTATATAGCCTTGAAGTACTACAAATGTGGTTTATTATTGACCCAGTACTGTCTTTATAGAGGCAAGGTAGATAAAAAACAGCCTTCCTCCTTGCATGACCCTGGACAAGTTTGCTAATGAGGCCCCAGGCCACTCTCTAAGAGTGGTGGTAGATCTGCTTTGGTAGAGGGAGGTTCCTCATTGTGAACTCCCTGTGCCAATGAAATCGCAGGTTCCACACAAAAATGAGGTTTTATGAGTCTCGCTCGTTACCACAGTCTTGTGGGTTAGGCTCTTAAACCACTGTCCCCTTTTATGGATGAAAAAACTAAAGGTCCTAGAAGTAAAAAATGACTCTTCAGGTTATAGAGCTAGTAAATGACGGAAGTAGGATACTCACAACAGCCCTGTAAAGTAGTTAAGGAAATGACTTGCCCAGAATTACATAATTGGGGCTAATAAACTAATAATAATAATAATAATGTGAGCTAATAGCTCACAGTAATATAACCCTAGTAAGAGTCAGAAAGAACTCAGACTAGAATCTCAGAATTGGGAAGGATCTTCAGCCTTCACTTGGCAGGTAAGGAAACCGAGGCCCAGAAAGGGGAAATGACTTGACCAGCTACATACATCTACAGAGTATTTGAGCCAAGATTCAAAGTTTCTAACTCCAAAACCCTTTGGCCTGTCCATAGCCCCGTGATGCCTCTGTCTAAGGAGACAGAGCTAAGATTTAAACCCAGGTCTGTAACTCCAATTTATATGCAAATATAGGAGAATCCTTGGTCTGGTCCTGGACAAAATTGCTAGGTTTTTCTGCCAACATTGGTCTCTCATAAAGTGTCCCATTCTCCTTGTCAGTATGCTTACTAAGGTGTTAACAGGACAATATGGTAACAGCTAAGAATAGTTTAAGATGTGGCTCCCTCCAGGGAAGATTTCTTTTTAAAGCAGAACTCAGCCCAAAGGAATTAAGCTATAAATGGCAGGTATAGAGCAAGTACACTGTAACCTCATATATCATTCTTTTTGTTCCATCTTTTACCCCTCCTAGCCAAAGCTTAACCTTTCCATTTCTAGCCTTTATTCCATACATTCCCGTCCCTTTCTTCCTCTTGCCTCTTTGTTATCTCCTCCACCACTGATTCCTTTTCTACACAATTGAGTGTTCCCATCTTAAACAATAGCATCCTTCACTTTGAGCTTCTATCTCCTTGAACTCTTACCGTATTTATCTCCTTTGGATGCTTAAAGGTCTTGAACAAGTTACCTCTCCAGTTATTTGCAGCCTGGCCTCTGGACCTGCTCTCTTGGTGGTCTCCAGTGACTTTCATCCTACCAAATTCAGTAGTATATCTTTAGTCTTCTTCCTCCTTGACCTTTCTGCAGTATTTGACACTATTAACTTACCATTTTTTCCTTGATGTGCTTCTCCATTGGCTTCCGTGACACCTCTAAACTCTCTTCTGTCTAACTACTCATTTGTTTTCTCTGGGTTCTTCCAGCCCCTCCTTAATGTAAGTGTTCCCCAAAGCTCTATCATTGGACCTTTTCTCTTCACCTTTGTCATCTTGTCCACTCCCATGGCTTCAGTTATTACTTCTGTATGAATGACTCCCAAATCTTAAACCCCCAAGAACTGTCTTTTTGCTATTATTTTATACTACTTCCCCTCTTAGTGGTGTTAGGTGGAGCCATGGATAGAGGTCTGGGCTTAGAGTGAGGAAGACTTAAGTTTAAATCCTGCCTCAGATATTTACTGTGTGACCCTGAGCAAGTCACTTTACCTCTGGTTGCCTCAGTTTCTTTAACTATAAGACAGGGATAATAATGGGACCTACATCTCAAGGTTGTTGTGAGAATCAAATGAGACAATATCTGTAAAGCACTTAGCACGATACCTGGCACATAATAGGTACTTAATAAATGCTGATTTCATTCTTTTATTCTTTATAGTCTGGCCAAGATATACTATTTGCCACTACCCAACCACACTACATCTTCTCCCATCTCTTGTGCCTTTGTTCACACCATCCCCTAAAACTTAAATCCCTCCACCTATCTTTACCTGGTGAAGTCCTACACATCGTTTAAGGTTCAAGTCAGATACTTTCGCCTCTGTAAAGCCTTCCTGGATCACTGAAAGTACTTTCCCCTTTCTATTCTTATTAAACAGAATCAAAGAGTTGGGAGGGCCCTCTGAAGCCATCTAGTCCAAGGCATACTTAACCAAGAGTCTCTTCTGCAGTCTCACTTGAAGGTGTGTAATGAGGGTCAACAACCTGAGGTGGCCCCTATTTCTAATTGTTAGGACATTTTTTTTACATCAAACTTAAAACTTCTCTCTACAGCTTGCACTCGCTGCTTCTGGTTCTGCCCAAGTAGAACAAGTCTGATCCTTCTTCCAAATGACAGTTATTCACATACTTGAAAACAGCTGTTCTGTATGCTGCCTCATCTTCTCTCTTCTAGCCTCAGCCTCCCAAGTTCCAGTTAATCCATCCGTCTACCCTTTAGTCCAACCACCATCAAGATTGCCCTTTTCTGGACAGTTTATCTACATCCTCCCTAAAACATGGTGTCCAGATCCGAACACATATTCGGCAAGCATTTATTCTGCTGTGTAAGGTACTATGCTAGTGACTATCAATATAA